CAAATTGTTACAATGAGACAAAAATAGCTAAGCATGTGAAGGTAATACACTTACAGTGCTTTTCATAAAAAAGATCTTTAAATTAGCGTAGAGTCAAAGTCTGGATTTGTAAATCAGAATTTTATTAAAGATACGGAGGCTCCTATTATGCATTCTCTTTGTTTATTATACTCCCAGCAGCAAGAAAAAGGGAAGTATGAGAGAATCATAGAAAAAAGAAACCATAACAATAGCCTGGTAACAGTGGCACCAATCAGCATCCAGTATTGTCCATATGGGTGTGGTGCTCCTTGACTCCTCCTCTTTCTTGCTGCTCCCTCAGACAAGTTAAGTACCTCATCTTGCTACTCCTGTGATTTCTTATACATTTATTTGTATTTGCTAATTCCTATACATTATTTGGATGTTACTTAGATTGTACATTGTGCTACATTTATTGTATATTTATTGTCAGTTCTTATTGTCTGTAGTATATCCTTCTGGTGTCAGGGGAATGCTAGTCCTTCTTGCCCTCACCTAGGGGTTGTCTTCGTCTATTTTCCATGTTCGGTGACTTAGTTACATAGTTACATAGCTGAAAAGAAACTTGCGTCCATCAAGTTCAGCATTCCTCACATTTGTTTTTTGCTGTTGATCCAAAAGAAGGCAAATAAACCCAGTTTGAAGCACAATTTTGCAACAAGCTAGGAAAAAAATTCCTTCTTGACCCCAGAATGGCAGTCAGATGTATCCTTGGATCAAGCAGTTATTACCCTACATTGAAAGATTATATCCTTGAATATTCTGTTCTTGCAAGTATGCATCTAGTAGCCGTTTGAACATCTGTATGGACTCTGATAAAACCACTTCTTCAGGCAGAGAATTCTACATCCTGATTGTTCTTACAGTAAAAAAAACCTTTCCTTTGCCTTAGACGAAATCTTCTTTCTTCCAGTCTAAATGCATGGCCTCGTGTCCTATGTAAGGTCCGGTTTGTGAATAGATTTCCACACAATGGTTTGTATTGGCCCCGAATATATTTGTATAATGTTATCATATCCCCTCTCAGGCAACGTTTTTCTAAACTAAATAGGTTTAAATTTGTTAACCTTTCTTCATAGCCGATATGTTCCATTCCTTTTATCAAAGGACTACTATAGTGCCAGGAAAACATACTCGTTTTCCTGGCACTATAGTGCCCTGAGGATGCCCCCACCCTCAGGGACCCCCTCCCGCCGGGTTTTGGAGAGAGGAAGGGGTTAAACACTTACCTTTCTCCAGCACCGGGCGGGGAGCTGTACTCCTCCTCTCCTCCTTGCTCGCGACGTCATCGGCTGAATGCGCATGCGCGGCAGGAGCCGCGCGCGCATTCAGCCGGTCGCATAGTAAAGCATTTACAATGCTTTCCTATGGACGCTTGCGTTCTCTCACTGTGATTTTCACAGTGAGAAGCACGCAAGCGCCTCTAGCGGCTGTCAATGAGACAGCCACTAGAGGCTCTGGAGGCTGGATTAACCCTCAGTATAAACATAGCAGTTTCTACTAAAGGCTTACTTTTTGGTAAATCCTTTATTTAGGATCTTGGGCTGTACGTAAAGACATTTACAGCAACTGATAAAGCTCATCTCTTAAGAGAGTATTCGCACCTCGGGTTTTTGGAGGGGCCGGCAGAGGAAGGAGCCGTCTACCCGGCCGTGGATTTCAGGCTCAAATAGAGCCGGCAGAGGCTCCTTTAATAACCAGAGACCGGTACCGGAGCGACACTATACCCCATTCTTCCCATCTCGGGGATGGCCCTGGAATTCCCGCGGACCATGGGGGTCTGTTTCAGGCAGACGACCTTATGGTGAGTTCCGAGTATCTCCTTTTTTCCCATGTAAAAGTGGGGGGCAGACTGGCATTGTTTCATCATACTTGGGAAATTTTAACCGCAGATGTTTGGATATTAAAGACGATACAAGGGTATCTATTGGAGTTAACCTCCCACCCAGTTCAGACGCAGTTCCCTCGAGAACTAAATATGGCCGACCAACACCAAACAATGATCTCAGCAGAGATCGCAGAGTTAGCGTCAGAAAACGCTATCCAACAAATCCCATGGGACACAGAAGGGTTCGTGAGCAACCTGTTTCTGGTCCCAAAGAAAGGGGGCAGGGTACGCTCAGTAATAAATTTCCGACCTCTAAATGTGTTTGTCCAGTACCACCATTTCAAAATGGAGGGTATTCTTTGCCTTCGGGACCTCCTCATACCATCGGAATGGATGGTCAAAATAGATTTACGGGATGCTTACCTGACAAACCCTATTGCAGAAGCGCATCAGAACCTACTGCAGTTTCATTGGCAGGGAATGAAATGGAGGTTTGTATGTCTGCCATTTGGCCTATCCTCTGCTCCATGGTGCTTCACAAAAGTGCTGAAGCCAGTGATTGCCTTCCTGCGCACACGAGGAGTCTGATTAATAATTTAATAATAGCAGAATACAATCCGGGGCAGGACAATACGATGGCAGATTGTCACTCCCGATACCTTCGGGACGCAGGGGATTGGCATCTCCACCCAATGATTTTCCAGCGCATCTCTCGACTCTGGGGACCTTTCAATATAGACCTCTTCGCGTCACGTCTAAACACCCAGCTCCCTTGGTTCTTCAGTTGGAGACCGGATCCAGATGCTCTGGCGACTGGACCAAGGGCAGGAACTACGCTTTCCCCCCCTTCAACCTCATTTCTCGGACCCTAGCGGTCCTTCAATATTCCAGGGGAACACTGGCCCTTATAACCCCGTTATGGAGGTCACAACCTTGGTTTCCTCAGGTATTGGAAATGTCGATAGATTTCCCACAGCTGTTGCCGGACATGCCCTACCTCTTGACCAACCTAGAGGGAATGAGTCACGAACTGGCCGACCAGGGTCTACTTCAACTGATGGCATGGCTCATTTCAGGAGATCATGGAATCTCGAGGTTTCGCAGATGACACTCAGTCTCTTGGCAGAGTCGTGGGCACCAGGTACCAGACGTGCCTACGGGTCGGCTTGGAGAAAGTGGACTGATTGGTGCGTGGGACAGTCAATGGATCCCATATCAGCTCCTACAAAAGCAATTCTACAATTTCTGACCCTACTCTTTGAGGAAGGAAAAGCCTTTCGTACTATAAATCTGTACAGATCAGCCATATCAGTGAGACACATGGGGTTGGATGGCACCCCAATAGGTAAACATGCTCTTATCTGTTGTTTACTCAAAGGCATCTGTCTTACTCGTCCTCCTCAAACTCGATATTCTTCCTTTTGGGATGTCAATATGATCTTTCATTTGATCAAATCTTGGCAAGTGAACCAGGAACTTTCTCTAAAGCAATTGTCAGCCAAGCTGCTGATGCTGTTTTGTTTACTTTCATGTAAACAGGTTGCTGATGTCAGAGCGCTAGACTGGCATACACGCGTTTTTGTCCCAAACTGAGTATCCTTTAATATTTCACGTAGGACAAAATCCTTGACTAAGGAAGTTTTCTACCCATCGTTTCCGGACAACCCAAATTTGTGCCCTGTGTTATGTCTGAAGGAATACGAGCATCGTATGGCCTCGCTCCGTCCAGAGCAAACACATCCATTATTCATCTCGTTCAAAGTACCTCACCTCGTTGGATCAAATGGTTGATGTCAATGGCAGGCATAGACACCTCAATTTTTTTCTTCACACTACATTTGCGGGGCTATGGCCTCTAAAGCAGCCATGATAGGTTGTAAATTGGAGAATATCCTACGGGCAGCCGACTGGTCGAATGAGTCTACATTTCGTAATTTCTATTTTCGCCCAGTGCAACACATTTCCAGTTCAGTGATTGCTCAGCTTTAAAATAGCATAATAGGAGCCTCCGTGTCTTTAATAAAATTACCAGATTTTACTATTAACATGACGTAAAGTCATGATTTTATTAATGACACGGAGGCGAGTATTGTATCCACCCACCCTACCCAGGGTCATGATTAAGTTGCAACCCAGACATGGGGCCTTTAGGATGACTTAATACGGTAAGTACAAGATCTTTCATGGCACAGGTGAGTAAGTATTCAATGGATATGATACTTATTTCGATTTAGCAACATGGTTGACGAACTTGATATATTTACATCGAATGATTAACATGGCTGACGAGTTGTTAATTGCGGAATAGCAGTCACGAGATTTCGATATTCCCATATTCTTCTTCCCTTTTTCTTGCTGCTGGGAGTATAATAAAGAAAGAGAATGCATAATACTCGCCTCCGTGTCATTAATAAAATCATGACTTTATGTCATATTAATAGTAAAATCTGGTAATTACTAATAACATTTGGATGATTAGTGATCAACCTGTTGTATTAAAGGACCACTATAGGGCCCTGAGGGTGCCCCCACCCTCAGGGACCCCCTCCCGCCGGGCTCTGGGGAGAGGAAGGGGTTAAACTCATACCTTTCTTCAGCGCCGGGCAGGGAGCTCTCCTCCTCTTTGGCTGAATGCGCATGCGCGGCAGGAGCTGCGTGCACATTCAGCCAGTCTCATAGGAAAGCATTCATAATGCTTTCCTATGGACGCTTGCGTCTTCTCACTGTGATTTTCACAGTGAGAAGCACGCAAACGCCTCTAGCGGCTGTCAATGAGACAGCTACTAGAGGCTTTAGAGGCTGGATTAACCTATATATAAACATAGCAATTTCTCTGAAACCCGCTATGTTTATAAAAAAAAATAAATGGGTTAACCCTAGCTGGACCAGGCACCCAGACCACCTCATTAAGCTGAAGTGGTCTGGGTGCCTAGAGTGGTCCTTTAATTTCTTACAGGTATAAGTGAACACTAGAGGGAGCACGCACACCAGGAAGGATCAATGTGTGAGCATTGTTTTTTAAACTCCAAGGTTGTATTTATACAAGTAACTGTCACGTGACTCCTCTCTATGCTTACTTGGGGTAGGGAAATGTGATAGAACACCGTCTCTCTCCTCTATGGTTGCTTACGTTGCCTGGTTACGCCTCCGCCTCTCCATGGTAACCAGGGTCCTGCTCTCCAGTCAGGCAGTGCCGCGGACGCCTTGTTTGGGGACCTGGCCGTGTCAGCACTTCCGGGTCCACGTCTTCCAAGGAGGATGGAGCTGAGGACCGGGGACAAACTGTGACCCAGGCACCCGGACTGGCCGATACTCGCTGTATAGCCCGGGGCAGATAGCACATCGGCTGCAGGTAACTGACTGCGTCAGGGCATGCCGAGACAGCCCAGGGCAGACTGTCTGTGTTTATATATGGCACCGCACACATAATATACACACTATATACACAGCATCCATTATACACACTATATATACAGCATCTATTATACACACTATATACAGCATCCATTATACACACTATATATATATACAGCATCCATTATACACACTATATATATATACAGCATCCATTATATACACTATATATACAGCATCCATTATATACACTATATATATACAGCATCTATTATATACACTATATATACAGCATCTATTATACACACTATATATATACAGCATCCATTATACACACTATATATATACAGCATCCATTATACACACTATATATATACAGCATCCATTATACACACTATATATACAGCATCCATTATATACACTATATATACAGCATCCATTATACACACTATATATACAGCATCCATTATACACACTATATATACAGCATCCATTATACACACTATATATACAGCATCCATTATACACACTATATATACACAGCATCCATTATATACACTATATATATACAGCATCCATTATACACACTATATATATATACAGCATCTATTATACACACTATATATACAGCATCTATTATACACACTATATATATACAGCATCCATTATACACACTATATATACACAGCATCCATTATACACACTATATATACAGCATCCATTATACACACTATATATACAGCATCCATTATACACACTATATATATATATATATACAGCATCCATTATACACACTATATATACAGCATCCATTATACACACTATATATACAGCATCCATTATACACACTATATATATATATATATACAGCATCCATTATATACACTATATATACAGCATCCATTATACACACTATATATACAGCATCCATTATATACACTATATATATATACAGCATCCATTATACACACTATATACACAGCATCCATTATATACACTATATATACAGCATCCATTATACACACTATATATACAGCATCTATTATACACACTATATATATACAGCATCCATTATACACACTATATATATACAGCATCCATTATACACACTATATATATACAGCATCCATTATACACACTATATATATACAGCATCCATTATACACACTATATATATATATACAGCATCCATTATACACACTATATATATACAGCATCCATTATACACACTATATATATATATACAGCATCCATTATACACACTATATATACAGCATCCATTATATACACTATATACAGCATCCATTATATACACTATATACAGCATCCATTATACACACTATATATACAGCATCCATTATATACACTATATACAGCATCCATTATATACACTATATATACAGCATCCATTATACACACTATATATACAGCATCCATTATATACACTATATATACAGCATCCATTATATACACTATATATACAGCATCCATTATATACACTATATATACAGCATCCATTATACACACTATATATACAGCATCCATTATACACACTATATATATATATATATACAGCATCCATTATATACACTATATATACAGCATCCATTATACACACTATATATACAGCATCCATTATACACACTATATATATATATATATACAGCATCCATTATACACACTATATATACAGCATCCATTATACACACTATATATACAGCATCCATTATACACACTATATATATACAGCATCCATTATACACACTATATATACAGCATCCATTATACACACTATATATACACAGCATCCATTATATACACTATATATATACAGCATCCATTATACACACTATATATACACAGCATCCATTATATACACTATATATATACAGCATCCATTATACACACTATATATACAGCATCTATTATACACACTATATATACACAGCATCCATTATATACACTATATATATACAGCATCCATTATACACACTATATATATATACAGCATCCATTATACACACTATATATATATACAGCATCCATTATACACACTATATATACACAGCATCCATTATATACACTATATATATACAGCATCCATTATACACACTATATATACAGCATCCATTATATACACTATATATACAGCATCTATTATACACACTATATATACACAGCATCCATTATATACACTATATATATATACAGCATCCATTATACACACTATATATATATATACAGCATCCATTATACACACTATATATATACAGCATCTATTATACACACTATATATACACAGCATCCATTATATACACTATATATATACAGCATCCATTATACACACTTGTCACGTGCGTGGGCTATAGGCCCAGCCGAGACAGTGGGGAGAGTGTGGAAGTGACAGGGTTAATGACACCAGACCCCTGGTTACCTGTTGCTAGTCCCAGCAACCACTCAATTAACCCCTGCAATCCCTTCTACACTATCCCCCTTAGTACTACTGCCACCACCAAGACTTTTAAACCCGGGCGTCTTAGGTTACCCCACACACAGGAGAATTATAGTATCACAGTTCTACTTTTACTGATAAAACATATATAGTTAACCCTTTTTGGTAACGTGTTTACCTGAGCTTTCCTCTGGAGAGTGAAGCTCATAGAGAACAGAGACACAAGCTGATAAAGTAAACATTTAATCTGACAAAAAGGATTCACAGTGCTGAGTACAAAATGCAGAAATAAATGATATACAGATAGCAAATTGCAAAACAGTACATAAAATAAAATAGGAGAAAACACAAGAAATTCCTTACATATATTTACCCCATATAGAATTCTTGTGGGAGTCTTAGATGGTATAGATCTCCTAGAAGTTACTGACAAAAGAAAAATGAATAACTGACCTCCCTGGATAGTCCAACACCCTCATATATCTAAACTAGTTGTTTCTCAGTGGGCAGACCCCTGGGGGGGATCAGAGGGGGCTGGTCTGGCAGTCTATTGCCCACTCTATGAAATTCCTTGTGTCCAGCTCTGGTGATGGCTATCTAGATGTTTTATGGTCTAGGCCTGGTGCAAGATCAAAGACCACAATAAATGTCATCCCAAGGTTTACAAAAAAACAACTCTTAACGTATATAAACACACATCAAATACCAACTCATGCTTTTGGCATGACACCTCCCCCTTAAGATGGTGGACAGAAAAATTCAGCCATAGGCTGATTTATCTGTCTACCATTAACCCTCTAGTTGCCGAGACAGGCCATCTGCATTCCCATGCAAGCGGCCCTTTTTGTGATGGGCAGTGAAATTATACTGTTGGAGGATAGGGCTCCAATGGAGCAGTTTATCAGTGTTACCTGTCACCTGCAGCAGGTTGTGATCAGTCCAAACCACAGCTACATCCTCAAACATGCCTGATTTGCCTGTTTCAATTCCCCATCGATCTCTGGTAACATCCCTTAAACCACACCCACTGCGCTCATGTAGTAGTTGTAAGGGGAAGAAACCAATGGATTTCTGCAGCACTCCCCGGTAAGCCCACAAAAAAGCAGAAAGAGAACACTCCCAGGATAGATGTGCTGTATCAACATCCATCATCTCTTTCATTTTGCGGTCTGTCTGCTGGCCTTGTTGCACTATCAGACATACCGAACTTTGGAAACTGGCTAAGTCTGGCGCAGAGTAAAGCTCACACACCCTCTGCCCTCCCTCATAGCCTTGCTGTCCCTTCACATTTTCACCCACCACATCACATACATTTTCACAGGACACATTTGACCCCCCTTGATCAGATACAGAATTTTGCACACACTCACATAATTTCTTCTCCAAGGCAGGCCATCCTCTCGCAATCTCACATAGCCCCTCAGACTCTGCAGCCGTGACCCACTGCTGACTTGTTACCACTGCGACTAGTGGTACACATCCCTGGCTCTCACCTTCCTCCTCCCCCTTACTCTCTGACATCCCAGCCTCACAGTATTTTAATACAGGCACATCACTACTCACCCCTATCTCACATTTGGTAGACATCACTGGTTCAGTTACAGGTAGATATTTATCCACACCCTGCTCTCCCTCCCAGCAATCACACTTCACAATGTCTCCCAAAGTTTCACACAATACCTTAGGTGGAGCAGTAAGCCCTTCTGGCTCACAAACAGTGTCCGCTGGAGCATAGTGACAGAGCATCCTGCCCAAATCATTCCCCAACAGAACATTAACAGGGATATCCTCTGAAATCCCCACTTCCCGCAAACCTTTTCCCGCACCCCAATCAAGGTACACACTTGCCAAGGGCACAGCGGGGCGTACACCCCCAATTCCTTTGATGGACATGGTTCTTCCAGGGATTATGTCCTCCGTATTCACCACTTCAGGTCGCACCAGGGTGAAGGAAGCTCCAGAATCTCTCAGCCCCATGGTCACTCTGTCACCCACAATTACACTCTGCAGGTTATCCTCTCGTTTCCCCACAGACCCACCCACAAGCAATACTGATGGTGCCCCTCCACGGACTGGTGAGGGCATATTCCTAGTGGGGCAAGTCCTGCTCAGATGACCAATCTGGTTGCATCGAAAACAACGGCGGGCATCTGACTCACTTGACATAGCCCTGGCTACGCTGGCAGTCGGCAGTGAAGTTCTCACTGCAGATCTTATAGGTGGTGATTGAACTGTTGCTTCTCTCCAGGTCGAAGTAGCAGCTGACACAAGTCCACGCCTGGATGTGGGTGCATGGATGTCGGCATAGTCATCTGCCAGTTCTGCAGCAGCCCTAGCATTTTTTGGCTTTCTTTCCAAAATCCACTCTCGTACATTAGGGCTCCGGGTCTGCAAGAACTGCTCCAGGACCATTAAGTCATTAAGGGCTTCATAGGTAGTAGCTTGTACTCCTGTTACCCATTGCCGGAACGTGGTTTCTAATTGTGCAACATATAGAATGCAGCTGGATGATGGGCATTGCTGCATACTCCTAAACTTTTTCCTGTAAGACTCAGGAGTAAGGTTAAAAGTTTTTTGCAATGCAGATTTGATTGCCTCATAGTTGTTATCAGTCTCTGGGGGAAGGGACACAAACACATCCAAGGCTTTCCCTTTCAATTGTGGAGTTAAATATCTGCCCCACTGGTCTGAGGGTAGTTGATGCTGCCTGCATACTTTCTCAAAACTTTTAAAAAATACATCCAAATCTGTCCCTTCTTCGAGGGAAGGAAAATCATCCTTACGGAGCCTACGTGTGCTGGACTCTGATGCATTGCTGTTCAGTGAGGACTGAAGGGTAAATTGCAGTTTAGCAAGTTCCAGCTCATGTCTCCTTTGTGCCTCCCTTTCGGCTAGCCTCTCTGCAGATTCCCTTTCTGCAGCCTGCTGTTGGATCATCACATGCAGGGCCTCCTGAGGATTTGCAGCCATCAGTTGCCGAAATAAATCAGTTGAGCAAATGTCCTTAATGTTTTGAGGGGTACAACCACCAGGCATTTCAGTAAGCAACACTCCTGCAGTAGTAGGGAGCTCGGTAACCCTTTCAGTGTCCGTCTCTGGCTGGAAAATATGGCTGTCAGCCTCCACAAGGTCAGCAATAAGTTGTGCCTTATTTTTGCCAAAAGTTGGTAAATTCTTTTCTTGGCACAACAATTCCAAGGCCTCTTTTGATTGTTTGCGATAGGCCTCCATATTCACAAATAGGATAGAGAAAGAAAAACAAAAGATGGAAGGGGAGAACTGTTTTGCACTTTGTATGTATTTTAAATCAGCACTGAGCTTGGTCTTTGGAAATTACACAAAAACAAGTATGCAATTTCTTTTAGTGCTAAGACCCCCTTTACAGGTAAAATCTAGCAAGCACTAAAAATCTCTAAATATATCCCACTAGCTGCCGCCAGTTTGTCACGTGCGTGGGCTATAGGCCCAGCCGAGACAGTGGGGAGAGTGTGGAAGTGACAGGGTTAATGACACCAGACCCCTGGTTACCTGTTGCTAGTCCCAGCAACCACTCAATTAACCCCTGCAATCCCTTCTACACTATCCCCCTTAGTACTACTGCCACCACCAAGACTTTTAAACCCGGGCGTCTTAGGTTACCCCACACACAGGAGAATTATAGTATCACAGTTCTACTTTTACTGATAAAACATATATAGTTAACCCCTTTTTGGTAACGTGTTTACCTGAGCTTTCCTCTGGAGAGTGAAGCTCATAGAGAACAGAGACACAAGCTGATAAAGTAAACATTTAATCTGACAAAAAGGATTCACAGTGCTGAGTACAAAATGCAGAAATAAATGATATACAGATAACAAATTGCAAAACAGTACATAAAATAAAATAGGAGAAAACACAAGAAATTCCTTACATATATTTACCCCATATAGAATTCTTGTGGGAGTCTTAGATGGTATAGGTCTCCTAGAAGTTACTGACAAAAAGAAAAATGAATAACTGACCTCCCTGGATAGTCCAACACCCTCATATATCTAAACTAGTTGTTTCTCAGTGGGCAGACCCCTGGGGGGGATCAGAGGGGGCTGGTCTGGCAGTCTATTGCCCACTCTATGAAATTCCTTGTGTCCAGCTCTGGTGATGGCTATCTAGATGTTTTATGGTCTAGGCCTGGTGCAAGATCAAAGACCACAATAAATGTCATCCCAAGGTTTACAAAAAAAACAACTCTTAACGTATATAAACACACATCAAATACCAACTCATGCTTTTGGCATGACAACACTATATATACACAGCATCCATTATATACACTATATATATACAGCATCTATTATACACACTATATATACAGCATCTATTATACACACTATATATACACAGCATCCATTATATACACTATATATATACAGCATCCATTATACACACTATATATATATATACAGCATCCATTATACACACTATATATATATACAGCATCTATTATACACACTATATATACACAGCATCCATTATATACACTATATATATACAGCATCCATTATACACACTATATATACACAGCATCCATTATATACACTATATATATACAGCATCCATTATACACACTATATATACAGCATCTATTATACACACTATATATACACAGCATCCATTATATACACTATATATATACAGCATCCATTATACACACTATATATATATATACAGAATCCATTATACACACTATATATATATACAGCATCTATTATACACACTATATATACACAGCATCCATTATATACACTATATATATACAGCATCCATTATACACACTATATATACACAGCATCCATTATATACACTATATATATACAGCATCTATTATACACACTATATATATATATACAGCATCCATTATACACACTATATATATATACAGCATCCATTATACACACTATATATACAGCATCCATTATACACACTATATACACAGCATCCATTATACACACTATATATACAGCATCCATTATACACACTATATACACAGCATCTATTATACACACTATATATACAGCATCCATTATACACACTATATACACAGCATCTATTATACACACTATATATACAGCATCCATTATACACACTATATACACAGCATCCATTATACACACTATATATACAGCATCCATTATATACACTATATACACAGCATCCATTATACACACTATATATACAGCATCCATTATATACACTATATATATACAGCATCCATTATACACACTATATATACTGCATCCATTATACACACTATATATATACAGCATCCATTATACACACTATATATATACAGCATCCATTATACACACTATATATATACAGCATCCATTATATACACTATATATATACAGCATCCATTATATACACTATATATATACAGCATCCATTATATACACTATATATATACAGCATCCATTATATACACTATATATATACAGCATCCATTATATACACTATATATATATACAGCATCCATTATACACACTATATATATACAGCATCCATTATACACACTATATATATACAGCATCCATTATACACACTATATATATACAGCATCCATATATACACACTATATATATACAGCATCCATTATACACACTATATATACAGCTATATACACACTATATATACACACATTATATACACTATATATATACAGCATCCATTATATACACTATATATACAGCATCCATTATACACACTATATATATATACAGCATCCATTATACACACTATATATATATACAGCATCCATTATACACACTATATATACAGCATCCATTATACACACTATATATATACAGCATCCATTATACACACTATATATATACAGCATCCATTATACACACTATATATATACAGCATCCATTATACACACTATATATATACAGCATCCATTATACACACTATATATATACAGCATCCATTATATACACTATATATATACAGCATCCATTATACACACTATATATATACAGCATCCATTATACACACTATATATATACAGCATCCATTATATACACTATATATATATACAGCATCCATTATACACACTATATATATATACAGCATCCATTATATACACTATATATATACAGCATCCATTATACACACTATATATATACAGCATCCATTATACACACTATATATACAGCATCCATTATATACACTATATATACACAGCATCCATTATACACACTATATATATACAGCATCCATTATACACACTATATATACAGCATCCATTATATACACTATATATACAGCATCCATTATACACACTATATATATACAGCATCCATTATACACACTATATATACAGCATCCATTATATACACTATATATATATACACAGCATCCATTATATACACTATATATATACAGCATCCATTATACACACTATATATACAGCATCCATTATATACACTATATATACACAGCATCCATTATATACACTATATATATATACAGCATCCATTATATACACTATATATACACAGCATCCATTATATACACTATATATACACAGCATCCATTATACACACTATATATACAGCATCCATTATACACACTATATATATACAGCATCCATTATACACACTATATATATACAGCATCCATTATACACACTATATATACAGCATCCATTATATACACTATATATACAGCATCCATTATATACACTATATATACAGCATCCATTATACACACTATATATATACTGCATCCATTATATACACTATATATACAGCATCCATTATACACACTATATATACAGCATCCATTATATACACTATATATACAGCATCCATTATATACACTATATATACAGCATCCATTATACACACTATATATACAGCATCCATTATACACACTATATATATTATACACACTATATATACAGCATCCATTATATACACTATATATATATACAGCATCCATTATACACACTATATACACAGCATCCATTATATACACTATATATACAGCATCCATTATACACACTATATATACAGCATCTATTATACACACTATATATATACAGCATCCATTATACACACTATATATATACAGCATCCATTATACACACTATATATATACAGCATCCATTATACACACTATATATATACACAGCATCCATTATACACACTATATATACAGCATCTATTATATACACTATATATACAGCATCTATTATATACACTATATATACAGCATCTATTATACACACTATATATACAGCATCTATTATACACACTATATATACAGCATCCATTATATACACTATATATATACAGCATCCATT